CAAAATTAAGAACTTGATTATTGAGTACAACACTAAGTTCTAGAGATCTCAACTAGTAGATTATAAGACTAAAATATCCAGGGCTTTTCTCTGTTTTTAAATGTTTCTTTTTTTATTTCATTTAAAAATATTTTCAATATTTTATAAGTTTTTTTTTAAGTAATGTTACACATCATGAAAGTTTCTTAAGATAACCCACCCAATCTCGTTATGAATTTATGGACCCATTTTCACCATATTACGTTGAATTTGGAACAACAGTCCATTGATTACAGTTGTGCCAAATTTCATCCGAACAATTGAAGATGATTCGAAGATCAAATTATATAATTCAATAACCAATTAGTAATTAAGAGCCCTTAGATTAACATATCTAAGAAATCAAACATAGTCAAGGAGAGTTTTCAATGTATATCTTTAGGACTATTAGAAATTATTGATTACAACGGTTAACACCAAATTATTGATACAATCAATTAATACAAAAATTTCACTAAATCAAATGTTCCTACAACAACTTAGTAAATTGTGATGAATTCAATCATTTTGAAATTGACCCTCTTTTAAAATGGGTCATATGGATTAAACTTGTACTGGCCCATGGTGGCCCAGCCTGATGGTAGACTGGTTTGGTTATTTGCCTAGTCGTACCATCATGCACTGGTCATTTAGTCGCTGAATGAAAATCCAAGCCACTTAATTAGTAAATTTATAGACCATTTGAGCTATTTATTTATTAAATTTAAATTTAATTTAATTATTTTAGCTTGACAAAAAACTCACACATTAACTTTATTTTTGCAAGATTTCAACCCTCAATCTTGTACTTAATTTGTATGGTAAGAAACTTCCACAAGCCTTGGTATTGTCATTCTTTTAAACGAAACCGTGTATTTGAACAAATCTTTGTTTAACTATTAGTTTCCGAAATACACAATAAATACAATTTCCGAAGACGAAAACAAAGGACGAGAAATTATCAGAATACAAGTTTCTCTTATTTGGTTAAAATTTAGAATGGTACAGTACTTACTTTCGTACTAGTGAGGAGGTCTTGACCTATAATGTGGCTCATAGACACAATTATAGAATAATTATAAAACAATTATTGCTGATTAGTACTAACAATTATAAAACAATTATAGAATAATTATAAAAGTGAAACATTACAGGTTAGTGTTATTGTGTCATAGGGTAGGACACAATCCTCAGAGACCAAAGTTTTGATTGAGGAACATGTAATGAAGAGACAATATGACCACACCAAACTGTAATGTATGTATACGTATATGTATATATTAACTCCACTATTAGGTCCATGTCCTGTATGAGACGTCGGATTTTAAACCCTATGGGGAGGAAGCAGCCACTTGGAACCCTCTATAAAACCAAGGCTGATGAAAGGTTTAGCATCTACATCTCTTAGTTTCTTCGAAAACCCTACTCGGCTTGCATTCTTCGACCCTGGACCAGTGCACATATATTCTCCAAAGAAAACTCTGAAAATGTCAACATCACGTTTGTAAGTATAAACTAACCGATAAGAATTCGTGTATCGAATTTAAAAAAAAGTTGCATATCAAACGATACGACGAACCATGATATATATATATATATATAAACATATATATAAGTACGTCCGGTGAAGAGGTATCTCTTTTAAAGATAATTATGGAGGTTTCTAATATTTTTAAAAAAAACGGTATCATTAATTTCTGAGTTGAAACGACAAGTTAATTAATTACATTTCTCCTCAATGCAATGCCATAATATATGCATGTTATGCCTTACTTGTCTTTTTGAGGATTATAATGATCGGCCCATCCTTCAGGGGTGACCGTATTGCTCATGTTAGTGTAGGCATATACAACTCTAGCGAAATCCCTCCAAGCTCTACCCAAGAAAGTGTTGTTCCCCAAACCACTTATTTTGCAATGGATAAATGAGTAACCAGCGCTATCAGAGCTACTTTCCCTTGCTTGTGCCGTCACTATTGCAGCATTTTCACATGGCAAAACATGTAATTCCGTATTCTGCACCAAAAACATTTATGCACATCAATTATCAATTATCCTTAAGAGAATATAAATGCTCAATATATATATATATAAATATATATATATATATATATATTATTCTCAATTTTTCGAATGTAAGATAATAGTCACTTGTGCAAATACCCACTGAACAACATGTATGTAAATGAGCCCTTAGGGGCTTGGCTGTGATGGTAAGAGCTTGGCACTTGCACACACTAGGCTAGTGTCCGACTCCTCCCAAGCCATCCATGTCATCTGACTCACCCAGTATATCTTTGGGGCGAGGCTCTACACCCCAGGTTTGGAGCTTAGAGTGGGTCCCGAAAGAGCCTTGCCCAGGGAGTTCTTGGTGCTAACTTAAAAAAAAAAAAAAAAAAAAACATGAATGTAAACGAGAGATCTACAAAGAGAGAGAGATGTCAATTTGATACCAAGTATAGAGATTGTCCATTGCCAAAGATGAAATCAACAGTGCCTTCAATGTAAATGAGCCCTTAGGGGCTTGGCTGTGATGGTAGGAGCTTGGCACTTGCACACACTAGGCTAGTGTACGACTCCTCCCAAGCCATCCATGTCATCTGACTCACCCGGTATATCCTTGGGGCGAGGCTCTACACCCCAGGTTTGGAGCCTAGAGTGGGTCCCGAAAGAGCCTTGCCCAGGGAGTTCTTGGTGCTAACTTAAAAAAAAAAAAAACATGAATGTAAACGAGAGATCTACAAAGAGAGAGAGATGTCAATTTGATACCAAGTATAGAGATTGTCCATTGCCAAAGATGAAATCAACAGTGCCTTCAATGTAAATGAGCCCTTAGGGGCTTGGCTGTGATGGTAGGAGCTTGGCACTTGCACACACTAGGCTAGTGTACGACTCCTCCCAAGCCATCCATGTCATCTGACTCACCCGGTATATTCTTGCGGCGAGGCTCTACACCCCAGGTTTGGAGCCTAGAGTGGGTCCCGAAAGAGCCTTGCCCAGGGAATTCTTGGTGCTAACTTAAAAAAAAAAAAAAAAAAAAAAAAAAAAAAAAAAAAAAAACATGAATGTAAACGAGAGATCTACAAAGAGAGAGAGATGTCAATTTGATACCAAGTATAGAGATTGTCCATTGCCAAAGATGAAATCAACAGTGCCTTCAATGTAACAGTCTTGGAAGAAATGTTTGCCCTTGTCATCACAGACGGTGTCTTGAAATCCATAAACTTTGCAGTTATAAAATGCAGCCTTGTCGCCAGAGATCCTTAATGAAACCGCCTGCGCTCCCTCCCTTTTGCCATCTGGACCTGGTGCCGAATTCTGAAGTAACAAAATTACCATGAAAATTAATTTTATATATTTATAACCAACAAAGTTGGAAAATTATATAAGAGACTCACCACAATTACAACATTAACACAGCAGAAGTAATCGGATTCTACAATTAAGGTGGCGCTATCAACAGTTCCACTCTTCTTTGCGGTATCATCATAAACCAAAGTTGGCATATCATTAGGTGCCCCATAAAATGTGACAAACGGCTTGTTTCGGTCTATCCTAATTTTTTCAGTATAATTTCCTCCCCCAATCCACACTATGACGCGACGAGTATTCTGATCCGGAATACTTTTAATGGCATCAGTCACCGTCCTAAAATTGCCCTTTCCATCTTTCCTAACCTTGATTACCATGGCACCAGCTTCTGCGGTCACAAGGGGAGGGTCCAAAGTGCCCTTCCGGGCTGTGTAAGGTTTGACACTGTTTTGGTACCAACTCTTCACTTGAGACTTATCTGCCGGAATAGGTATAGTGTCATCTCCGATGACAATGGGAATGATTAGAAGAATGGTCATCATAACATTCTCAATGGTGGTGATTGTCATTTTTCCGGCGATTTTGTGTCTTTTTTGGCCAGTGGTGACTACTCTCACCTTTTCTTTTTTAGTATGAATTTCTTCGTGAATGGAGGGGTCTATTTATATGAGCAAATTGAAGACTGAAATTTTTTCTACAGTAACTGTTACCTTGTTATTTAAAATTACCCTCCATGAAGACATAAACAACTAAAATGCCTTTCCTCCACTAAAGAGTGTGGGCAATGCAGCATTTTAGGAAGGGGTACTTTGGGAAAATGATTATTGTACGTTAGAATTAATTTGTTTGAGTGGTACTGCCTCCAACAGTATGTGCATGTCTAAACGAAGACAATTGCTTTACATAAGAATGTTAGCATAAAGATACTGAATTGTGTTTGGGGACAACTCATTCCAAATAATACTGTTTCAACTTTTCATGGTGTTTGGTGAGAAAAATGATATGGTGTGCTAGTGATTTTTTGTTTCGTTTCTTTGTTTTTTTTTTTATTTTTTTTATTTTTTTTGTTTTTTTCCCTTATAATATCTCTAGAAAATCTACATTATTTTTTGCTAGTCATTCAAATATTTTCTCAAGATTCCTAGTGCACAACTTGGGCAGGTTAATGTAGATTTCTCATTATTTTGGTGCAACTTGGGGTTAATTACAGCTTAATATAAAATCATCTTGAATTCAAATTTAATAACCTAAATATATATTAAAATATAGAGTGGTAATTTTGGGAATGAATTCGGTAGTTATTGAATTTAAATTATGTGAAAGGTGTGGTGGATTCAATGACATGAAATATTATATAGTAGAGTCTACCACCACACTTACATAAATTGAATTTGGTAAAATTCAGTACTTAAATCATTATTAAAATATGTTTTAAATTGCTAATCTTATTGTATATTAAATGTATAATTGATCATCAATAAAGTGATTAAAAAGAGAAAAAATATATATATATACTAAACTGTTATATACAAAATACATAAATAAATAAAAAAATAAATTCAATCAAAAACCTTAAACAGATTGAAAAATTAGGAGACTTTCCATCTGTTGTACAAATTGAAAAAGATATGTAAAATGTGTGTGTGACTGTGTGTATTAGATTTGAGAGGATTAGGGGAGAGAGACTTCAATGCTAGCGGTTTTGAGACAGAGACAAGCAGGGCAAGCTTTTGTAACGGCGTTGCATCTCCTGCACACGCTCATGTGTCGACACGGCCAAATCATAACCGTCGCCACTCGCTTCCCACACGCCTTGCACGCCAACCGAACCGGTTCCACTCGCTCCGGGTCAACGTACGACGATTCGGCGTCCTCCGCTTCCCCACTAGCGCACCCCCGGCCAACCTCAACGCCACCCCGGCTCATCGTAGCCTCCACCAGTGACTCCCTCAGCGACGCCACTCTCTCCTCCAGAATCTCCGTCTGCGCCTTCCAAACCTGCGCCTCCATTCTATACTGCGCCGCGCACAGCTCCAACTCCTTGTTCCTGCGCACCGTCCTCTCCAGTTCCGCCCCTCTCTCCTTCAGTCTCTTCGACGCCCTCTCCTCCGCCGCGCACATTAGCGTGCTGTAGTGCCTCTGCCACTTCTCCGCTAACGTGCGCCGCAACTGATCGGCCTGCAATGGAGAATTGGCGATCTACAATTACGTTCACGAAATCGAGAAATAATAGAGACCCATTTCAGTGTGAGAGAGATCATTACATGGGTTTGGATTACTTGCTCAATTTGATCACTCTGTTCTTGGATATTTGCAGAGAAATCGTCGGTCAATAAAGATGTGAAGGACAAGACTGGAGTAAAATGTTGTGGAGGTTGTTGGGAAGGACTCTGGTTGATCAATGATGCAGGCAATGAAGTATCAGAAACTTCTTTCTTCCTCTTCCGAGAATTGATATCCACTGTAAAGAGAAATAAACCCAAGTCACATTCTAAAAATTTAAAAAAAAAAAAAAAAAAAAAACAAAACATATATAGAGAGAGAGTAGAGAGAGAGAGTGAGAGAGAACCTCCATTGTTAAAGAACATTTGAGATTGATGGAGAGAAGATTCTGAAAGTTTGTTGCAAGCGAGACCTGCCCTTTTCTGCAGAAGGTAAATTGAGAACATCATCAAATCGTGTCATTGAACAATAATTTAAAAAATAAATAAAAATTGGGACAAACAGAGAGGTGTGAAGAGAGAGAACCTGTTGATGAACAGATAATTGGGAGATGGTGATGGTGAAGAATGAGCATAGGGAATATAAAGAGAGTGAACGGTGCGAGCCGAGAATGATGAGAGGTGCGTTTAATAGGATCCAAGAGACGTAACCAATCACCAAGTTACGAACGTTTCCAGAATTGGGTTCTTCAATGAAGGTATAAACGACACACACCTCCTATTAATTAATTGATTGATATATGTAAATGCTTTCTATATGCATACACTAAGTCACACGTAGCAAATTCGAAAATTTAAGTCACACCAAATAAAAAAGGGTGCGAAGGGACATCACCGGTTGAAATGAATTAATTTTATTTAGGGTAGGCAATGCACGTATAGTTAAGAAATTTTTTTTTGAATTCAATGCGAATACAAATCTAACCCCAGTTTAGATTCAAAACTCAAGTTAAACTCATCGAGTTAGAAATCATACTTAAAATGATTGTTTAATGCCTCAAGTTGAGTTTGAGCTCATTCTTCAACCTAAACAATTCAATAGTGTAGCATTTTTTCTTTACCACCAGAGGACTTTTTAGCGTTGCAACTTTGCCTGTCCCAACAAATACAATTTTTTTCACTTCTAAATGACAGCACTTCAAAAAAGTCATTGTTAACATCAATAACAATGATAGTTACATATATTAAAGTCGTTTCAGCATAATGAAGATGATGTGATGTGTTCCACATATTCAATTACAAACACTTGTCCAAATTTGTTGGTTGTTGGCAAAAATGGGAGTAAATTGTCACTCTCACTCTAGTCTAGTGTGTCCGAATTCTTGCCATGTTCGTAGACGGAAACATTCAAGTCAAGGATGAGCTTACGATTATAAAACAAATTGGTAACTAGGATTTTTTTCTTTTTTTGAAGGTCATAAAAAAAAACTAGGATTTTTTAATCAAAGGTGGAAGATGAATTAACAAAATTAGGCTGGACATCGTCACCCTTCAAATTCTAGAGGCCATCAACTTGATTAAGTTCAATAGTGTCTTATTTCTCTAAGACTTACTACGTTTTTAGAGGTATGCTGTGAAGCAAAACAATTAGTATAAAAAATGCCTAATTTATTGAACATTATTAAAAATATTAATAATTAGATACTATCTCTATTAAATAAGATAGAGGTCACATCTTAAGTTACATAATTTTTCTTGATAAGCGTTTATTCTCATTCTTGCTCCCACTTTGTAAAATTTTGTCACTTTTGCATTCTAGATCTATATGGCTTATGTCACATTTTAGGTTAGAATTTATTATCACCACCCGACTATCTCATAAAGATTTAAACCTAACTTCAAACTCCATAAACAGTTTCTTATGAACAAAATTTCTCCATTACATCAATAAATCTTAAGTTTTGAAAATTTAATTCCAACTGTTAGAAACACTCTTACATCATTTTTTTTTTTAGTGAAAATTATTTGTATGACTTATTAGTTGAGGTGGGTAATAATGTTAAATTAGAAGTAAAAGGTGTGCAGATTGAATTCGGGCTCCAAAAGACAACGAACAAACCCAAACACTGGGTTATAAAAGCACTCGCCATGTGTGAGTCCTCATCCAATCCCAAAAAAAAAATAAAAAAAATCAAACATTTGATAGTAGTTATTATGGTCCATTGTTTTAGTGAATAGTAGTACTTGTAACATATGAAGTGCTTTTCTTTTTTTCTTTTTTTTTTTAACATAAGAAGTTGGGTTAATATATTACCGGAGTTCTAATTTCTCCCGAGTTATTGCATCTCTTACTATCCCATCCAAATTTCAGAACTCTGGTAGGAAAGAGAAATGGTCACAGCTACTTCGATGACGTGCTCTCTTCTTCCCTGCAAAGGTCGCCAATGTTACACTTTACTGTCTCTCTCTTTCTCTCTGCCAATGTTACTCTTCTCTCTCTCATCTGTTTTGTTGGTTGAATAGCAGGGCTTCAAGGATCAAATCGGAGTTTGCACTGGAGGAAGGAGGAGGTCTGCTTTCCATTTCCCTTTTTTTTTTCTGCTTGGTGTGTGATGATTATTAGCTTATCCAGAAAATACCCATTGTGTAGTGGAGTTTGAAAAACTGGAATGCATGAATGATGTTTGATGAAATGTGTGTGGTAGTGACTGGGTTTATCTGGGGGCACCCATCTTGTCCCTTGCCTAATTGGGCATAACTTTTTCTCCTTTTTTGATATATAATTGGAGTTTGAACCTTCTTATCCGCTCTACATAGTGACTCCAAGTTATTTGGCCATGGTCTTCTTGATAAAAGGTTTATTCTTTAATTGAACATATAGTGTCTGATGAAATGAAATACTTGGGAAGATCTAATTTTTTTTCTTTTTCTTTTTTTTTTTTTTCTTTTTTTTGATAGATAAGTCACACACCCATTATTCTATTTGGAAGGAATAGGAGATGCCACTTTGGCTAAGCTCTTGGTAGGTTTAATGTTTCTAACCATGAACAGTTTGGAAGTGACAATCTCCTTGAGCATGGGGTTTTGTTCAGAAAAATGACTGAACAACATTAATGGAATGCAGAGAAGTCCACTCATTACATAAGCTTTCCGAGCCTTTGAGTTTATATTTAGAAGTCTGGGTGCAACCTGTAAATTCTGGATATCCCAAAATGAGTTCTGAACTTCTGATTGTTAACCAGTATCATGTCTTTAATTCTTCATTTTGAGCTTAGGTAAATTTTCCTTGTGATAATATTAAGATTATATTAATGATAGAATTCATGTTAGCCACAAGCAAATCTTTAAATACATGTAGGAGCAGACTGAGCAGTAATTAACCACATTTTTTTTGGGATAAGTGAGCAGTAATTAACCACATGATTAATTAGTTACCTTAAGATTATATTAGATTCTTCTCCTAGAAACAACAGAATTTGATAGTTATCTATTATTTTGTTTATCTTTTGGAGGCAATAAAATAAAATCAAAATTTGTATTTATTTATAGACAGGATATTTTGGAAGATGCAAATCCTATTAGTATACATTCTGGATTTTCCATTCTAATGTTCTCAGAATCAATATAGAAAGAAAAATTTAAAATTCATGTGTCACCTTATATGCTGTCAACATCGGGACTGTGGTTTCAAAATCTCCAGCAGCTCTTTCTGTTCAACTGGATATTATTTCTTTCTCTTTTGATTCTCTGAGGACCAAGGGTTTTCTATTTTGTAGACACAATGGCCAAGGAAAGCTGGACCCAGTATAATAACTGCCAAATTTGAGCTGAAGCCTCCTCCATATGCACTGGTATGATTTAAAAATTCTTATTTAATCTTGTGTAAACATCAGATGTGCTTTATATTTCTTCCTTGAATCACAGTTCTGAGGTATAATAAACCTAAGCTCGATGCCTTTGATCAACTATAGGGCTAGTTGTGGTCTCTTTCTTGATTGCTTCCTAACCATTCCTCTGGGATTAGGCATGGTTGCACTTATGGAATGGTGGGCTTATGCTTCACTTAGCTCCCCATTGGTAAGAAAAATACTTCTCAAAATATCAATAGCTTGAGTTATAGCAAACTTCTTGTCACTGTTTGCCTGGCTGGTTTTCGGCTCTTGTCATATGTACCTGCCACATACTATCTGTTGCTTGGCAGGTACGGTTTGTCAAAAGAGCATGGTATAGGTATGTAATGTTAGTTGCCTTCTCTGACATCAGCTTGGCTAATGGAACATGGACAGAGGTCGACCCTGGCTCAACTGAGCCTGTTTGAGGCTTTGAGCTTGGTATTTGTTGCTTTTGCCTAGCTCGCCAATTCAGCATGGTTCAATAGTGTAATATTACTCATCTGTCATATTTTTTTCAGCCAACAATTGAGACTTTAAGTAGTCCGACATTGGTTCATGTCATTCTCTAGGAGTTCTTTCCCTGGTTTCGAGTAGCTTTATTGCACTTTCTATGGCACAGTAAGTAAAAGTATATCACTTAAAATGAAGCCATTAAGTAGAAGAGATTTTTCGTTTGTAATGTTATGAACAATGTCAGTGCATGAACATCCAAGTATGTCCCAGATATAGTATAAGATTGAATGGGATCTTTTGTAGGTTAGCTCATTTTGCTACATGAGCTAAACATGAAACTTCTATGACAATGTAAAAATTAATTTTTCTTCTTGCCATTAACCAATTTAATGGATACGTGGTAGAATGCTCTGGAACCACATATGAGCCGGGAAACACTGGAATACCATTGGGGGAAGCACCACAGGGGTTATGTGGAGAACCTAAACAAGCAGATAATGGGAACAGAACTAGATGGAATGACGTTAGAAGACATAATAATTCTTTTATACAATAAGGGTGATCTCCTTCCAGCCTTCAACAATGCTGCACAGGTAAGCAATGCTCAACTGTGCTTCTTATCAGGATTTTCAAATTGAGTTGGTCATATTATGAGATTTTTGCGGAATAAGAATCTATATCTTGCCTTTTTTTTCATCAATCATGGTAATCTCTTTTATAACATTTAGCTTTTTTCATCAATCATTGTCATATGCAATTATGCATTGCCTTTTTCACTAATAAATACAACCTTGGGATCTACCAATATTTTGGATTTTGAGATTGGTTTCGAATAACCATGATATCAATATCCTTATTTTTCACAAAGAACTGCCAGTTTCTAGTGATTTGAAGCAGTTTTGGTCTATCAGGGAGTGAATATTAAGAAAGATATTTCTTTCGATGAAGTAGATCCTGCAGTGTCTGCTTGCTTCTTATTTGCAATTTCACTGGTATCCTCCTGCAGATCTGGAACCACGATTTCTTCTGGGAGTCCATGAAACCAGGTGGTGGAGGAAAGCCATCAGGAGAAGTTTTGGAACTGATTGACAGAGATTTTGGTTCTTTTGAAGGATTCATTAAAGAATTTAAGTCTGCTGCATCCACACAATTCGGTTCTGGTTGGGCTTGGCTTGCATGTAAGAATGCATCCCTTCCCCACTCCCCAAAAATCACAGCATCTCCTTCTCTTTGTTTTTCATCTATCCAATGCTTCGCTGTTGTATAACTAGCTAAAATGGCATGAGTTGATAGAACTATTGTTTTGTTTTTTCTAGACAAAGCAAACAGACTTGATGTAGAAAATGCAGTGAATCCTCGTCCATCAGACGAGGATAAAAAGTTGGTAGTGGTGACGAGTCCCAATGCTATGAACCCCCTCGTCTGGGATTACTCTGTGAGTATTTATGACTGACCATAGATTTCCTTGTTTATTTCAAATGTACAGATAATTATAATGAGTAACAATAGTAGATTAAAATCAAGTATTATTATGATTATAAATTATTTGTACATTTATCGTATCTCATTTGCCCTGAGCAACTTGTGATATTATTGCTGATTTGTTGCAGCCGCTCCTTACTATAGATGTCTGGGAGGTAACTCAACATAATCACTGAGTAAACTTGATTCTGATTTTTTTTTTTTTTCTTTTCTTTTATAGAACAGGTGATTATTAATTGATTACTAATTTTCATTTTGAAATTTGATTTGTCATGGCAGCATGCTTACTACCTTGACTTTCAGGTACGGCCGAGTTGATGAAACACAAGTGACCATTTTCTTGCCATTTATGTCTGACAAGTTCAGTTTTCCTGTCTTATGGTCTGTCTTATACGCAATCTAATAATAGCGTTGTCAATGTCTTCTGTCACAGAACCAACGGGCTAATTATATATCAACCTTTTTGGAGAAGCTTGTATCCTGGGAAGAAGTCAGTTCTAGGCTTGACAATGCGAAGGCTAGAGCAACTGAGATACAGAATGAAGAGTGGAGAGAGGAAGAAGAGGAGGAATCAGCAGGTGATGACGCCGTAGAGATGTACTTGGAGAGTGAAACCGATGATTCTGAATCCGAATGACTAGAGTTTGTTTTGCAGCAAAATTACAAGCGACTGAAGTCTTTTTGTTTACCCCTCTTCCCTTTTTTCTTTCCCTTCAGATTTTTGAATCTGATATAGAGATCACTTAGAGTGGCATAGGCGATATTTTCAAGTAGCATTCCGAAGAGAGCTTTGTATAGGTGGTTCACCTGTTGTAGGCATTGACAGTTAATGGAAATGTTATTCTTTGTTGTTTGAACAGTTTCATTGATCTTATTCCATTACATCAGAAGCCAAGTGGGAAATGGATATACAATAGCCCAAACAGGTCTATGACCTTGGAAAATACTTTCTTTCTTCTCTAATTATTATTATTATTATTATTATTATTATTTTCCTTGGCAAATGGCATACATTTTGTTCCTATAGCAACTTGAAACTGTAATTAGGGAAGCCACTCATGGTAAATTAGCTCCCAACTTTTGATTTTGTTTGGGGAAAGTAAAAAATTGCTTCGATCTTGATAGTTATGAAGAAGTGCCTTATTCTCACATCTTTGGACTCTGATTTATCGAATTCAGGCAAGATTTATTAGGGTTTCTTCGTACAACCAAACCCTTAAGACAAACAAATCGGTTAACAACCATAGGATAAGACCATCTTTGATTTTGTTTGGGGGAAAGTAAAAAATTGCTTCGATCTTCATAGTTATCAAGAAGTGCCTCATTCTCACATCTTTGGACTTTGAATCTATCGAATTCAGGCAAGATTATTAGGGTTTCTTCGTATAACCAAACCCTTAGACAAACAAATCGTTTAAAAACCATAGGATAAGACCATCTCCTAGTTCCTAGATCTGCTGCAAACAATAATGATATCATGGGTTCAAGCAGAGCATACACCTCAAACTTTTTATTATATAAAATGCACATAGGCAAAACACAGGAAAACTTCAATAGAATAAGACTAAATAAAGGGAAAATCAATTATCCAAAAGGAGAAATGTTCAATACACAGGAATTGGTACCCTCAAAAACACTAAATGGATCGAATTGCCACATAATACTTCTGCAACTGAAAATTACTACGAAGATGAAATCAGAAACAACAAAGAGATGACTCCGGAGAGAGGAACTACGCCAAACATTCAAAATTTTCACAAATGATGAGAAATGCCATATCATAAGTCAGAACTTGCGGCTAGCCACAGCCATGTCCCGCTTCTCCCATGCAGGTATATCCTCCATTGCAATATCATACTGGATCCATCGTTGGATCCGTTTCACGACAAAGAAATACTGTCAAAAAAGCAAAGAAAAGAGGGTCAAAATAGATTCCATGCCAATGCCACATAAAGCAAGAAGAGGATACGCAAGAACCCTGCAAGTTCAGAAGCTTACTTGGAATGCCAAAATAAAAGGAATCAGAAACTTCCCTCGTTCATTTGGGTTTGGCCCTTCAATCAACTTTTTGTCAACCAAGATACCCTTGCTTCCATTTGAAACAACATCAGTGATTGTTTTGACTAAATTGGGAATCCAAGCAGTCCCATTTGGAAGAATCTGTACCCGAATAACAACATATCATCTCTGTAATCTCATGATAAAATAACCATCAAGAAATTAATGGCACTTCCTTTAAAAAAATATAAATAAAAATTGGTCGGAATAGCTAGATAACCAACCTTTTCATCACTATCATTCTTATTACACCTCCCACTGTTCTCAACCAAAACTACAGGGACAGAAGAACCCTAGTAGAAGCAAGGAGATAAATGTCAAAATGACCAATATATCAAGTCCAAAAACATTAACAAGAACACAACCATCACAGAGAAGAATTAACTCAAGCAGAGTAAAGATGATAAAGTAGGCAACCAAACAAAAATTGAGAGATAAGTGTTGGATGTGTTAATACAAGCTCAAATTCTCAGTCAGTCATGTCATGCCACCAGCAAGAAATGTGCTGCAAGAAGTTTACCTACTAAATCTGCATGTAGTTACCTTCATATAGATGCATCCATGCAAGTGTAGGTATGTGTGAGCAGTCTAAATCAATTAAAACTCTTGGCATCATCCACTCAACGCTCGGATAATTGAACTTGCATAAACAAAAGATGAAGCAGAGGTTGGTTCTAGTTTAGGGCTGCCTCAAAAAATGTATATGTGATTGTGTGCGGATGAGTGTTTTGACAATAATTCCCCTCCATTGGCTGTATGAAAAGTTATCATTGCCATTCTAGATTGTGTTTGAGCTCCCTTTAAAATTACTCTGCTTCGTACACAACTTTCACCACTACTCCTATGCCCTTTCAATGATATAGTATATGCAAAAATTTTGGTTGCCTTTATTCATTGCTGAACATTGATCACCAGGTTAACTACTAGGCAATATTTTTCCACTTTTTGAGATGCCTGGCCTAAACCTCTATTGAAGACTTTTAGACAGCCTGGGCAAAACCTCTATCAAGGACTTCTATCTAAACCTTAGCATAAAGAAAATGAATGCTTCAACAATCTACTTCTTCCAGATTGGGATTTTTTAGTAGCCACTATATTGTATCTCAAGCTCACAGCAACTGAGTTAGTCATACCCTTCCACTGAATAATAAAATTAAAAGAAAAGGAGAAACAAGATCGGTTAGGATAAGGATTAGCATTCCCCAATAAGGAAGGGGTCTATATTGTGAAACTACGTTAAATTGACTCTTCGAAAGTTGGTAAAGTACCAGTGCAGGACACACAATAATCAAATATGGGTGTGGGTTATGTGTCCGGCACTTTTGGCTAGAAATAATAATAATAAGAAAAAATAAAAATAAAATATTCAAAAGTTCAAGTTTATTACATTGCTGCTTCAAAGCAAGTGAAATGTTGTATTAAACACTGTTACATAAAACATTATTTTACTTTAGAAAATAAAATAAAAATCTTAAATAATATAAATATTTAGTAGTGTCCATGTATCTTTATATTTGGGGATATGACACATCCAAAGTGTAGATAGATACCCGCACCCCACCCACATACTACAATGCATCTCCCTCGAGGCACATATTACAATGCATCTCCCTCGAGGCACATATTACAGTGCATTTCCCTTCGTTCATGAAATTATCTTTTTTGGTTAATACAATTTCAATCTTACTTGCCAAAAATATGTGTATATATACAAAAATTAATTGGATTTCAAGACAGCAAACCTGGGAACTTGCATGCTCAATATTCAATTTGAGTTGTCTTGTTCTTATGTTTCTTTAACTTAGTTATATGTGGTTTTAATTTTATTTATGTTATTATTAAGTTTTAAGAGTCGAGATTTTCAGATTTGCTGGACATCATGGGCTATAAGAGGATTATGTTTATATATTTTTTAGTCATCGAAGGCTTCATGTTTCTACATATGAAGTATAAGTCCGAGACTCCAAATAGAGTTGGAATCTCTAGAAATCAATATATAGCTATGTAATAGTCAATTTGAAAGAATTCAATTCAGAGAAAATTTCAGAACTTTTGAACATCACACCATTGGACTAACTCACCAATGGCTTTCTTCCTCCTTAAGAGATTAGAAGATAGATCATTGCAACCTTTCTCAGAAGAGCTAGACACAGGAAGGTCACTGAAGAGTCATAGACTACATTTTATTAAAATACACTGGAGAAACTTATTTTGTTACAAGCTCAACACTGTAGAACAGGCTCCAAAAAGTTGCGAAGAAAGTACCTGGATATCTTGTTTCTTTATCCGAGCTCCCAGACGAACAACTTTTAATACAGCCTCCGATCTTCTAGAAAAGAAATCATCATAACTCAATCCATCGGGCGGTGAGAGCTGAGCATGAGTGAGGACAACCAATCCTCTACGCCATATTTCTTTACCAAAACTATCAGTAATAGCTTTCACAACCTGCCTATCCAAGTTATCCACCCTATACACATCCAGGCGATCCACATAGACCAAAACATCTATGGTCTTGTTCAAAAGGAACCTGTTAAGACAGTCCCAACCAAAACAAATTCAAGTCATTTAAATGAACAAGATGGTCAATGTATAAAGAGTCACAAAATTCAAGAAAAGGTTTAATCCACCTTCATATGAGGTGTGGCACATGAATTCTAGGATTCAAAGTAACTTTCTACGGGATGAGTTCAAGTATCAGCTGGTAGATTGGTGAAGTCATTTGGACTCCTATAAGGGATGGAAGGTTAGGTAATTAGAACTTTCACCTTTTCTGTCATGCTCTTCACAAGAAATGGTTGTCCAGCTATGGGCTGTGAAGGAGAGTAGAAGTATGGCAGTGAGAGGGAGTTAACATAATAGGGAGGTCCAGATAACTAATGATGTGTGTGAAAAAGTGTCAAGAAGAAGTAGGATGAATTCTCAAATCATGTAATCTTTGTAGTCGGCAATGGGAAACAGGTTAGGTTCTGGATCAATCATTGGTGGGTGAGGACCCTCATTTTGTACCTTCCAGAAGTTTTCGAGTTACAGACGATGGGCAGGCTATGGAGTCGGATTGCCTCTGATTCACAAGGAGTGGATGGTATGAGATGTTCACATAAGCTGCTGCAAGACCAGGAAATTGAGAGATTGAGGCTTTCTTGGGATTGGTATATGGAAGATGCGAAGAGAGAGGAGGATGCTTTTGCATAGGTGAGATCATGGGTGTACCGCTTAGGTGGCACCTTTATACAATAGCTTAGAAGGAGGCTGGTATTGGGTATTTGGGTTACCTTGAAGGCGGTGTTGCACACGAATGCTCTTCCTTGAGTAGCCTTCTTTGGTTCGTTGGAAATTTTTAAGAAGATTCACTATTGACAACCTTCAGAATAGATGCCAAATTATAGTTAACTGATGTTGCATGTGCAAACGGAATGAGTTGTGGGCGCTTTTATGTGCTCCTTTTGGAGTTCACTGGCTGATGCCGCTGATGCTAAGAGTGGCAGGAATGAGCTTACGAGTTGGAGAATCCGAGGTAAGAGGAATAGGGATTCGCTTGAAGGTATAAGAATGCCCATACTATGTATAAAGAATCTGCTATTGAGCTCTTTATTCCATGTATTACTAGTAGCTTTTATTAATTTTTTGTAGAATTTTCAGGTGAGATGAAGGTAATAGTTCCAAGGTTTCCAAGCGTACACATCGTGTTTACACGTATACACCTCCTTTGGCGCTCATGCAAAATCTCACTCCCCAAAAAAAAAAAAAAAAATTAAGGGAAAAAAGGCACTACTAGAATATAGAACAAAATAACATATTTCACACATGGTAAAATTGATACTATTTGAGGCAAAACGCAAACCTCTTTATGATCTCAAGTGCCTGGTCATTGACATATCCTCCTTCAACAAGCCCCGGAGTGTCAATGATGTTCAATGTAAATCCTGCCCTTGAGCGTGAAACCATCACTGGTCTTGGTCCTTCCGACTGCAATATCATAACATTGTTTATGCATAATACATATACCATCAATACATGAAAAAACCAGCTCAGAACCCACATAAGCTGGATATACATTGACAACAACAAACACCTGAAAAGCACTGACAGCAACTGCTCTTTCCCCTATGATAGAGTTCACGGTCGAAGATTTTCCAACACCGCCTTTCCCCATTACAAGGATTGTCAAGGTATTCACATCCTACAATGGCATAAGAACCGCATTAATATTGCAATATATAGTGTGTGCCATTCTGTTTGGCTGCTAAAAATTGCAACATACACTTGGTTTGCCTTCTTTTCCATGTTCTCTCAGCAAACAAACAGCTTTCTACAAATATTGCAAGCTAATTTCATTGAAGAATATAAATTATACCTCCTGCTTTAGTTTTCCCAACATTTCAAGCAGTTTGGTCTGGGTTGCCGCAGGGAATTGCTGAATACCAGTCCATTCTCGGATCAATTGAGACGCCATATATAGTTGCTACCTTATCAAATCATAGTAAAAACGAAATAGAATCAATCCAAACACAACACAATGTATACATACAGAGATACATACATATAAAAAGTTTGCCGTATAAAAAGTTCCAACAGACGAAATAAAACTGAAAACGACATGCCCCATAACCAAAACCTCATTTGTTAGGGTTTTACCCTTCAATGGTAGTGTATATTGAACCTTAAATGCAAAATTAAGATGAACCCAAAACGCTAAAAATTTGTGTACGATGAAGTAAAGCTATAAACGAGGTGAAATTGAAGGGAAAAATACTGAGTTGCATAGAAAACCTTATCGGAACTCCGTCTTTCTCGCCCAAAACAGTCCAAAATAAAAGCGTAGATTACAAAATACGAAGAAAAGGGTTTTAAGGTCTTATCTATCTTTCACGCTTCGTTAGCTACACTAGCAGATGAGACGGCCTTGTCGTCTTCGATTTTGTCAGCCTACCTTCCCCACCTCTCTCTCTCTTCTTTCTCTCTCTTGATTGGGGTTGGGGGCAAATCGGGCGTGTTTGCGTGGTCATTTTCGTTTTATCGTTATCAATTTGTTTAAAATGCTGAAAATATTGAAAAGTGATCATTTAAAATCACCTTCGAATCCTAATTGATTCAAATTTTTATTGAAAATCTACAAAATTGTTTGGGTAAATGTCAACGGCTTTTTTAACATTAACACTTATGTAATTTTAAATATATTTATAAAATATCAATTATATTAATTGACAAAATTACTCTCATCATTAACCCTCTTTCTCTATCTTTTTTTTCTTTTTTTTTTATTCATTTTAATACCTAACCGCCAACATTCTATCTCTCTCCTTCCGATCTCGTACATGGCTGCTTTTTTTTTTATTCCCCCCTTGTGGTGGGTCTAGGCTAGCTATGGCTATTTTTATTTTTATTATTATTATTATTTTATGTTGCAGTAGTGGTTGTACTTGCTATTTAAAAATAATAATAATTTTCTTTTTTCTTTTTATTTTTTTATTTTTATGGAATTCGTGTTATTATATATAAACCATATTTATATGTGTAGAAAAGATGAAGATATTAGTTTGGTCCATTAAATTTAGTTAGGAGGTTAAACTTGTAATTTTATGATTTAAATGGAGTTGTTGACAAATCAAATGATTAGAAGGTAATTTTATATAGTTTCAGAGGCCTGAAGGGGTGTCAATGCACATTTTTGAAACCTTAGAAGATATCAATGTAAAAAAATTCATTGTCAGTAAGTGATGTTGATCAAAAATTCTGGAGGTGTCAGTACAATTTACCCAGATTGTTTTAACTACAACGTTACCACAATATTAAACATATTTGTTATGAATATTTCAAATTTTAGAATTGGTATGGGAACTAAATTTTTTTTTTCTCTCACAATAAATATATACCCACATTATCCCTGTTGAACCCACCACTTAAAAAGATGGATGTCATATCTGGTGGTATCTACCAAAATATTTTAGTTCATTAGTTATGACATTTAAAAATTGTATCTAGAAACTAAAAAATATATATATATAATTTGATCGTTGTGAACAAATCCAAAATTTCAATCATGGCGGCAAACAAATATATTCTGATACATAACTTAGTTAATAAAAAAATAATAATAATCTTTATAAACAAATCCAAAATTTCAATCATAGCGGCAAATGGAATCGGATACATAACTTGGTTAATAAAAAATTAGAAATAGCTTTTATTATGTCCCTTGAGTTATAACCATCTCTGATGCATAAAGTTATTTCTGCATGTCAAATCTATATTTTGAGAAGTGTTACAGTGTCAAAATGATATATTTTAGCAATTCTACTCCAATGATGCGTTGCTATTTTTTGACACAACTACTATTTTTTTTTTTCAACAACCATTCCCGACTTCCATTTTCAACCACCATTCTTTTTCCATTGCAAATATAGATAGAGATAGACAGAGGAAACAAACTCCATTCTCCAAGAAATAAACAGATTGACGAGAGAGAGATGAAAAAGAAAGAAAGAAGAGTAACAAACAAAGGCATCGATTTTTGATCATTATCGCCGCCGCCCTCTTCAATGGAGCCCATGCCACGACCCAGAACCATGGCGACGCCGGAGGGAGCCACGATCGGACCACCTAGAACCAAGGCATAAGGAGCCACGATCAGACCACGTGCGAAAGTAGTCGTGGGGCCGATTCGCCGCCTAGATCAAAGACCCCTGGAAGAAGACCCGAGTCTGGCTCGGCACCTTCAACTCTGTCGACGCCGCCACACGCACCTACGATGTCGCCGCTAGGTCTCTCCGCGACCCCAAGGCCAAGACCAATTTTCCATTATTACCCTTTTCAATCCCTAATACACCTAACCCAAACCTTAATAATGGTAATCATTTTTAGGATGATGATGATTTCAACAATTTCATTCGAGACCCACCACGAGCAGCCTGAGCAGCACCTTAGAGTCCTCTAGTGGGCCCAGATCATCGAATCCACCGTTGAAGTTCAGAATTCGGCAACGGCAGAAGCTTGCAGATGAGAGGGAGAGAGAGACAACAGAGATAACAATATTGAGGGACAGAGAAAGCAATGAAGGGGAATGAGGGAGATAGGAAGAAACGGCGTCGTAGGGCAATTAAAGAGACTTACCAAAAAAAATTGGCAGCTTCTACATTTGAAAGCAAATTTGAGATTTTCAGATTTTGAGAGGCCAAATGAAAGACCATTGGAGAGCCCCTTTTTACTCATCTCTCAAATTATGAGTTTGAGAGCCCAAAATGAAAGAGCATTGGAGTTGCTCTAAGAAATTTTGAGTTTAGAAGTTAAAGAATTTAAGAATAACAAGTTCTTCATTACCTATAATAATAGAGTTACCGAATGAAAGTGTAACGACCCAAATCCACTGGGTCTGGATCATTAAACGGATCTTTATCCGACCCAAAATCATCTAAGGGTAATTTAGTCATTTCACGTTAAATTTGCGAATTCAAGTCCAAAAGGGGGCAAGATGGTATTTTGTCTCAATTCAAATGGTCTGAAACTCAAAGAGACACAGTAGTCATTTACTTGGGTCTTATAAAAATAATAAATAATAATAATAATAATAATAATAATAAAGTCCAGGGCAATATACCCTTTTCTAGGGTTAAAATTTAATTATGCATTATACTGAGTCATATAACGTGTAACAAGTACACTTAAGTGACTGGGCGAGGGCAAAATGGAAAATAAGCCACAAATGTTTACTACACAGAAACCGGTTAATGTATACACATCACACGTCAGTTGGTTTGGGTCACGTACATTGATGTTGCCGACTGTCGAGATACCGGTCGACGTGTGGGAAGCTACACATCGACTGGTTCAGGTCATGTACAGTGAAATAGCTACTACCAAGATACCGGTCCACGTGTAGGAGGCTACACGTCGATTGGTTTAGGTTATCCGGTCGACGTGTGGGAATTTTACGTCGACCGGTTCTGGGTTATCCAAACTCGAAATTTCTAACTGTCCGACATACACCAACATTGATAACCAATCACCCACGCCACTACGTTCACGTACACATCTAAATACATTTTAACATCTAAACAATAACAACAATATTCACATAATTTACAACACGTTACATGAAATACACTAAATGATTTAGTGTAAATAAGCATAATTACATTTCTCCAAAGGCCATATACAAAACGTATCTAAAAAATTTACATGCTGCAAAATGGTACATTTGGGTCAACTTTTTACAAAATAAGGCCTAATACAAAAAGTAGCAAAAGATACATTCTTCTAACCTAAACTAAGATTTTGGTGGATTGTCGCCCGCCACTTCCTTTCCCGAACCTAAAAATATTAAAATAATGTGGTGAGCTAAACGCTCAGTAGGAAGTGTCTAAGACACACTTCTTATGACCCCGTGAATCCACGTAAGGAATAGGTAGAAAAAAACGGGATCATATCATAGGAGTACATCGCAATAACTACAACAACCAGTATATAACAATAGTCATCCAAACACATACACACCATATATTCTAATGAAGTGCGATGTCATGCAATGTCACTCCCCATATCCGAAACATTTCCGTTTCAACTTTCAAACCGTTAGTGTAATCCATACCAAGGCACCTCCAAGGCGTCACGAAAGAAGGATTGGCTAACCAACCACGACCACAAGGCACCTTCAAGGCGTCGCATCCGGCCTGGTTAGCTCAACCATACTCTCCTCTAGACTACACTAACACCACGGACCACTAGGCGCCTCCTAGGCGTCCGAGTTTTCGCAAACACTTTTCAAAACATTTTCCCAAAATCATCTCATTTACTTTCAAAACATTTTTCCCTTTTTCCTTTCCTAATGATAATGTATGAATTATGCAAATTCTTTAATGTGATGACGATATAGAAATTCCATACAATTCAACCTCACAATATAGCATACTTAACAAGGAATTTCTAATAGAATTAAAAACATACTTACTAACACTCAACTTTAGCAACTAGACAAATGAAATTGAAAACACAACCATTTAAACATGATTTTCAATTAAATCCAACAATCACAACTCATGAATCACTTTTGTATGAATACACACATGGATACACAAGGTTTAAATTTAACACTATAGCAATTAACTCAAGGAATTACTCAATTTAGCAAGTTATACATCAAATATAAGAAGATAGGTCACAAAAATCAAAGATTGAGTGGATTAGAACACCCATACCTCATTGAAGCTAGCCAAACAAGCCCTGAGGCCTCCCAAATTAGAAATTCTTCCAAACCCTAGCAACCATGGTCTCAAAATGTGACCCTTGACATGCTCTTCATCTTTCCCCTTTTGCCTTTCTTACAATCTTTCCCCAAACCTTTCAAAATTGGACTCCAAGCATGGGAGACATTTATACACATAGATATAGAAAGAGAAAATAAAAATCCAGAGGGGGAGGGATGTTCAGCCAAGAATGAGGAAGAAGAGGTGATGGCTTGGCTTTGATTTTTCCTTTGTGGTCCAAGTGATGCCATGTGTCAAGCCTAAGATGGTTACTAAATTTTGGGTAAGTTACCCCATGTCCTTTATCTTCTAATATAATTCCATTAAAGTCCCCAAAATATCATCCTCTAATATATAGATACACACATATATATATGCTAGTGAAAAGTCCATAATGACCCCAAGGCAAAACGGCGTAACCGGGAGGGTTTTCCGAATCTGGAAGTCGTCCTGATTTCCAGAAAATTTTAAAATTGACACTGTCGACTTTAATTGACTTAAATAATTAAAATTACATTTCTAAAATTCTCAACACAAGAAAATAACTAAAACGGCCCTCGGAACCCGCGTGGCACGTAAAACGAGAAAAGACAAAATTACCCCCGAAAAATTGAAAAATTCCAGTAGTAGAAAAATGGTGAAAAACAGAAATATTACAGAAAGTTGAAACAATTAATTATCGAAGTGTAAAATCGTATGTATACAATCCTCATTATGTAGTTTAATTAATTGAATCGTATATAAAAAAAATGTGCC